AATACAATATAAAAATAATTAACAAAGCATTAAAGTGCAGTAGGTTTGCTTATGGTATACAGTGCAGATGATTGTAGAATAAAATTTTTTCATTCAAAATCTTCGCTCCCGTGAAAATCGAGCTTGACAATCGATCGAGTATTTATCGCATCTTACGCATCAAAAAATTTTATTCTACATCCTTTACTTATTTCCATGCGTAGGACAATCTTCTGTTAATTATTTCGTCACGTCGAAAATTAGCGAAATTTATCAAGTGTATATATATTTCATAAATTTTCGAGCCCGATTATTAAAAGTCTAGGTTAGAAAGTAAGTCCATATTAAATTTTTCAACGTTTTCTTAAAAACGCTCCTTCAATCTTGACTTTCTCAACTGAGACTTTTTCTCGACTGACATAACGAAGGAAAGGAAAATTCAAGGTCACTAAAAACGCACATCTCTGTAAATAAATTTTCAATTTTTAATTAAACAAATTGGGAGCTACACACATATATATATATATATACAAGTTCGAAACTTTCATTTGGTTCAGTTCTTTTATTCGACCACGCGCATATGCATATGCATACGTACGCGGAATCAGTATTTTCTTTTTATTCAACGGAGAAAGCAAAACCGATCGGCAAATAGAAATAGTTGCCCGCGGTCAGTGCACTATTCGCGACGCATGTTTGCGAGCTTTCAGGGACGTGTTCCGCCGCCACTGGCCCATGAAACGTAGCGCATTGCGACAAAATTTATGCTCGCCCGTGGGCTCGCGTGCGTTCGCGAATATTCCCACCTCAAACAAGATATCAAATCTTATCGTAATCTTTTTCCCCAACATCGTCTAAATTCCCTTCACAGCGTTATTTGCAAAATTCAACCTGCCTGTCGTGTAAAGAAACATTTTCTTGTACTCCTTAGATCTGGATAATATTTTCATTATTTTTATTTATATATACGTTATTACTATTACTCGTCACGTTTTACTTTTAATTTGTTGGTTAATAATAGCAAGCTGCTGGAGAGGAAAAAAGGAAGTGCGTCTAATGGTGCATGGCTACCATAAATAAAAAGTCCTCGAAAAACGACCGGTGTCAATTGTCCATTCGTCGGGCGTATTCGTTCTGTACGGCCCTGAACGTTTCTCCTCGTGAGTACACGTGTACGCACGCGAGACGCGCGTATAAATACACAGGCGCGATGTCGGTTTATTTATACCCAAGGGTGCCCATTGCGTGGCTCTCTCTCCTCTCTCTCTCTCTCTTTCTTCGCCGTTCAATGCCTGATGTCGAGCACAGAAAGTTACGAGTCGTTTAGTTTCTTTGCTACGATGGAAATTCATTGTCATGGCGACGGCGCGGGACTCGAGAGACGCAATCCTAAACGATGGCGCGAAAGAGATCGCGTGCTGGCCAACCGCCGGTTTCGGTCATCACGTCGATCCATGCCGCGAGAACACACACAGTTTCTTGAACGCACGTACAAACACCAAGTCTCACGACGATCGTGCTCTCGATGTCACTCGAGTGTCGTCAAATAGCAAAAAAAAACCTTGCATTACGAAATCACAAGATCGTACGATCGTGAAACTTTTGTTTTTTTTTTACAAACGCTTCGATCGATTTCCTTCGAATGTATTTCCCCTTCTTTTTCCCCGTTTTCACCTTTGATCCCGATTCTCTTTGCAAGGTTTTGTACTTGAATCGTTAATACGAATTATTAATTATACGATAGGCAAACAGCAAAAAAGCTACACTGCGTGTTTAATTATAAAATCGTCAGATTTAAAATATTTTATTTTATACAAATATAAAATATTTTTTATAAATATACCATTCATTTTCACAGGTTTCGTGTTTGAATTGTTAGTACGTTATTGTTAATACGAATACATTATTGTATAAATTGACAAATATATTTCGACAAGAGCCTAACCTTTAAAAAAGAATACTATCTTTTAATTGTCTGTTAAATAATATGGAAACGGTCTAATACGTGCAATGTTTCATCTACTTTATTTACGGAGCATGCCAGAAGTGTTTTGTGTGTTCCGAACACAAAATACGCAGCTGCGTTTCCCTCTTTCTTTTGTTTCCCTTGATTTGCCCCCTCCATTTTGGCCGTCTGTTTCTCTTCTCTGGGCGGCTGACGCGCTCCTTTTAATTTCAACGAGCGAGAATATCGAACGGTTTATCAAGATCTCGCGTTATAATGCATTCGTGATTTCGATCTTTTCAGTTCCCCGTCGATACGTTGTATATTCTCCTCGAGTGTAACAGTTCATTATCGAAACTTTGTGCTCGGAGGATACAGTAGAACACAATAGACTTTTATCTGTCGGACGGTATTAAAATGCGGTGCAACAAGTTGTAACAGACAGCAACGACAATTACGGGGATAAAAGCGAGTTATTTTAAATTCATGTTTTAAACGATGGGATGAAGATATCCTTTAGGTATAATATCGCCAATTAGTACGTTCTCACGGAAGTCATTTGCACGGTAGCGAATTACAGATAACGAACAGCCGATGAAACTCCATTCTTCGCAGAAGTGTGATTTCCCGCCAATTCTCCCCGTATTATGTGGGAACAGATCGAACGCCGTTGCAAAACGTGGTCGCGACGCGCATCGTTACCGCTGTTACACACTGCACCCCATTGCACTGTCTAATTTATTTCGATCAGTTCATTTCAAACTACGGCTAACGCTTTTCCCCGCAGATTTTTTTTCTCCCAACACCGTGAGAAACGCACGTTCGACCTCACGCGCAATGTCAATTAACATTACAACGTGTAATTCTGTCACAACTGACGATTGAAATTGTTGGAAATGTTGCGTGAGATATAGAAGAAAATACATAGACATCAATGTAAGTGTTTTTGTCAAATGTTATGCAAGACAAAGCACGTGGAATTTTCGTCGCTTACGAAATTATAGTAACACGTCCAGCTAAACGTGTTTACTCATCGTCTTGCTTCGACTTGCGAAATTTCTTTTTTCTTTTTATCGTTGCCTGCAAGTGGAAACACGAGAAAGAAAAGAATATCGTATTCGGCGGCGTGAGAGGTACGCGGAACACGCAAGCGTGGTATTCTTCAACGAGCCGTGTAAAAGAAATATATAGTTAAATTTCTTCAATGGCAATGCTTACTTTTCGCTGAATCCGATGATCTGTCGGACCGTGACAACCGGCTGACGATATAACCGATTATAAAGAGCACACCGCCAAGAAACAGCGTGCTGACGAGCACGAGCACGGGCATGCTGGTCCCCGGCGTGATTTTCCCTTCTGTATTCTCCATTTTCACCGTTCGATTAAACACACAGCACTTTACTTTTTATTTCACCGCACTATCGACGCACGCTTGATTCAATATCGGCCCGTTAAAAGTCAACGTAAAATACGAGAGCACGAGACGCGAGTCGCGAAACTGAGGAACACATATACGAGCCGCGTGTTCCAAAAAACACGAGATATCACGCAACGATCGCGGCGAGCACGTCAACTCCACGGTAAATGCCTGAACTACACGTTTTATAGATGGAATGCTCGACCATCGGTAATTTTTTACAACACGAAGCGCAGGAATCGTAGAAACGAAACTCAGATATTCCCGACAGTTCTCATTCCTTTTTACTTTACTTTTATCATCAGTCGCATCTCATTTTTATTTGCTTTCTTATTTATCTCGATGAAAGTGCTGGAGATTATTATAGATCGTTGTTAAAGGAAATTTTCGACTTCGCGAGGCGAATCGCAACTTGAACGTGACTCGTAAGCCACGCAGCAATCTGAAAGAACAACGTTCGCATTCCTTCATCCCCCACTTTGTTTCCCTTTTTTTTTCTTCTTCTTCTTTCTTGGCACCGTTGCGAGATTTGTCTCTCTACTCGGATGATAAAGTTACCATTCCCAATTGTTTCTAGGTCACCGTCACGTTCCTCGCCGAGTTCGTATTTCATGCTCGGCACACTTTTGTCATTTGAAGCTCGTTCTTGCCGATATCGTCTCTGCAGGAATTAGTCCTCGATGCTTGGCTATTGCGTAGCTTGATTACCGCACGCATGCAATTTATATCATCAATTTGAACGGGTAAGTGAAACTTGATGCAAGTTATTAATCCAAGAACCGGCAACTCTATTTCGTGTTCGTAAAGAGAAACGGGAGAGTGCCGGCGAGACTTTCGTGAAAAGTGACTTACAAGATTTTGCAACAAGCTTATCACCGATCTTTCGAAATAATACTCACTGATGTTATTCAACAAGACGTGGTTTTACTGGTCAAAGCGATTGGTATTACCGCGCAACTTGGATGATCGCGTGCTCTAGCGGTGCACTCGCAAATCAGGCAAAGTTGTCGCGAATGTCGACACGTTGGAAGTTTAAACTGGCGAACGTGTATCGTCCGCAAAAGCTCGAACCGCGCATTTGCCGGAACACGGCCAATAGTGCTGGTATATACGTATTGTTAGCCTAGCTATCATTCGTTCATTTCGAAGATACCCCACTATATCAAACCCAGCGGGAGGTGGATCGTACACTCTCCCACCAAAACGGAAGCTGCACTTGCGCGTTCGAACGTCGCGAAGTTTAGCAGGCAAGCGAGTGCGCGCCATCGATTAACATTCGAGTAATCGATATCCATCATCGCATCAATGCGATATGACAGAGGCCTAACTCATTTCTCGAATTTCTTGTCAGATAACTAAGATTTAACAACAATTAAGATTTAATTTTCACGATGAACAAGTTATATATTATAAGCTCGTTTTTTATAACGAGATGTCACAAATAACGACGAATTCCAAGCTAAATTTTTGAACTAATTCTTAGATGTTTTGATACTTAAATTGCAATAAAATAAAAATTGATTCAGGAATCTGAAACGTTGCGAGAGAAGATTGGCAATAATTATAATATATACTAAAAGGGAGAAAGAACAAAAACTTTATGTATTTTTTATATTTTACTAAAATAGTAAAAGGTATATAAATATTCAAAGTTTTATCCATTCTTATTATTATCATGATTGCTTTTGCTCTTTCAGATTAAATTTAAGGATAATAACAAATTAAGCTCTGAGCTATACCTTTTCAAAGACGGTCATAATGAAGGTAATTAAAGGTTATAGTAAAAATGTGTCTCGCTTTAGCGATAAGCAACGGGATTCCGGAAATTTTTATTACATCAATTCGTTTACAGGATGACAAATTCTTGCAACGAAGCAACAGAATTCTCGAAAACGTGACTATTTCATTTTCTATGATTCGTTTAAGATTCTAGGGAAGATAATGCGTCACAATTGTCGATAATGAAGATACCACCAGATATCGATATTTATTTTCTATATGATCTCAGGTATATAAATCCTTTTGCAAATAAAAAATATAGATGTAACAACATTGTGTATTATTAACATGCATTCAGTCGCAAAGTTACATGATCTAACTGTGACCTAACAACTAGTCTTACAAACGTGTTCGTAACGGCAAGATGCGTTAAATTCAACCCGTTATTCGCCCCGTTACTTTTCCTCATTTCAATCGTCTTCGTCCTCGATTTGACTCTCTCATGTGCAAGCCTCATCAGTGGCCAATCACGTACAACACGTTCAATTTATTCATACATTTTAGAGAATGATAAAAACACTTAAGAAAAAAATGTTCCTTAGACTTTGCAAAACTTTTTTTAAAATTTATTCAAAAAAAAAAAAAAATATATTGTACCTTATAATATTGATTGATTTAACAACAATTTCACGTTTTCATTCTTTTAGAACTTCTAACACTGGACCAGAGTGAAGTAATTAAGGCATGTTTGATAAATGAAGAGTGTGATATCCATAAATTACAACCAATTGAAATCTTTTCACACGCATGCGCCATTTCCTTGACTTTGTTCACTGCGTTGATTCCAACATCTACTTGTGTATTATTTCCTGAATGTCTCCGTTGTGCCCTTGGGTTTGGGCCAACGAACCCTGACTCAAATTTAAAGGTTGATCGCGGCTCAAGGATTTCGTTAGGCTCATATATCAATTAATAAAAAGAGATTGGAGTTTGATACGACGAATCCCGTTAGAAATACTATTTAGCTGTATTCGATAAACATGCCTTGTAAAATAACAACTATCAACATTCATGTACAGATCGGTGAAAAAAATCAAATGCGAATTTGAACGATATATCGGATGAAGATTAAGAACGAACGTTCTTCGACTGGTGTTAAATTACAATGAGATCAGTATCTTATCAGATCCGTTAAATGACGAATCATCTTTCTAACGTACTGAAGACTGGCTGATAAAGTTGATGTCGAAAATATGTACATCATCGAAAAAACCAGGAAACCAGCTTTTCGAGACAATTAACACACTCACCTGTGTTTTCACAAAAAGCGAAAAAAGAAACGGAAACATTTGCACAATGAGCTTATCGGAGGGATTGGATGAGTTTTGAACATACGTTGTACTGAAATGGAATAATCGTGATCTGTACGTTATGGTTTCTTCTTAGTATTGATAACATCAGTCAAGTAAACGCATGTCAACGTCAGGTAAATC